TCCTATCTGAAGCATGGTGACAGACATCAGAGGTTGTCTCGTGACCTCCATAAGTATGATGTGGTATGCATTCACTCATAGTCCAACACACACTTTCACATAGCTCGCTCTCTGTCATATACACGCACACGTGAAAAGGAAAAATGAGGAATGTATGTATTTGGAAAAAAAACATTTTACAGCTAGTAAAAATATTATTACATTTGTGTGTGTGTGTGTGTGTGTTGCATGCCACAGAATGTCTGTAGAAGTCAAAGAACAACTTGTGTGTGTCCTTTTTCTCCTTCAGCCTTCTGGGTCCCAGGGATCAAGTTCAGGTCATCAAGCTTGGTGACAAGGGCTTTTACTCACTGAGCCATCTTGCTGGACCACAGTTATTGTTTTTAATTTAAGCTTTTTTTTGGTGTCTCATATTTCCAAAAGAGGGAAATCTCATTGTTTGTCTAGGTAATGTTGAAAGATACTTCACATTATGTTTTAAATTTAAAATTCCTCATCCCTGCACTTTTAGACTTAGGTCCATGAAGCATCAAATGCTACAAAAGAAAAGCAGTTGGAAGGGAAAAGGATATTTAAACAGAAGTTTTCTCAAGGCCCAAGGAAGACTTTAAAAAAGAACCCCACCTTCTTTAATTCAGTAATTATCCAGGAGTGCTCTGGAGTTGGGGGCCAGGTTCTGGTAATAGTTTACACCTGTTTCAACTTCTCCCGTTTTTATTGGCAGGGACTTTGCCATACCATATTTCTTGTGAGGCAAAAATATGAAATAAAACATGGCAGAGCCTTGGAGAAGTTATAATAAACATAAAAACGAATTGTTCAGCTGAAAATGTGAAAGTCCTTGCCTGCACATTTAGCCAGCCATATTTCAGTAGTATCAAAAGAATTTAATCCTGGAGTTGTGTGTCAGGAAGAGAGAGACAACTGCTTTCTTTGGCAGGAAGAAGTCAAGGTTTTAAAAATCCAAGACAGCAAGCCTTGGAACATCATGCCAGAATCATATTGTAGAGATTGGTTAAAAAAAAAAATATCATTAAATTATGATGCACTTTCCATGTTGTTGAGGGAGAGGGGGACAGAGAAGTCTTAGCGTGTAAGGTTGCAGACCCAAGGGAGAATGGTTTCCCCACAGAATATAGCAAGACTTCAGTAGTCAAGCGACCCCACAGCATAGCACCATAGGTTGGCTTATTTCATAGGCAGCATCTTCCTGTCCAAACACAATGAAATGCTTTGGGTCAAGAGAGTATTGTTTGTCTTATTTTTTTCCCCTTGCAATCAGCTCTCCAGTGGTCACCCACCTCCCCCCAAAGTCCTCTTTACTTGTCAGGGCTAGCAGTAGCTGCCCTTCTCCCCTGTGGGGGAAAGAGCAGAAGGGCTTAGCTTCTATTACAAGAAGAGAAATAATCAAACACATGTAAAGTTTAATCTGGACAGCGCTGGGGGTACGCAAAGGTCATTGGGAAGGTTGTTAGTAGAACTGAATTTTGATTTTGGTTTTGCCTCACTGGTTGGGTGGCTTTGGCTTGTACATGGTCAGGGGTGTAAGCTGAATAAGGATCAGGATTTGGCTGTTTCTTTTCCTTGGCATAGGACCCAGATATTTGTGGACTGAGAGTAACCATCTCTGTTTCTTTCCCAGGTCTACGAACTCAGCATGTCAAATGTCTTGAGTTTACATCGAGAAACATTCCATGTTGCTCTCTCCCCTCAAACTGTAACTTCTTGGGAGGAATTAGGGGTTTTTGTATTGAGGATGTAGGGTGCATTTGAGAGGAGGGCTCTGCAGTTAGAATTCTGAAGGATCCTTGTTTGAAGGAAGAGAAGGCAGGAGGGCATGCTGTTCTCTCCTGACTGCTACAACCTTGACAGCTTTGTTTCTGAGAGTCCGTAAAAGTCCCAAGGAGACTCAGCAACCTCAGGCCGAAGTACAGATACTTCTTAAAAAAGTATCAGTCATAGATGAGCCCAAGATTGCATCTGAGACAGTGATATAGCCAAGAATCCAATCGGTGTTTCGTAGGAGCTTGACTGCAGGAGATTAGGAAACACATCCAGATTTAAAGAAAAGTCAGGATCCCCTGCAGTTTCTTGTACAGTTGGCTTCTCTTACTATTGTTTCAGTTACTGCTGATTAATTATGATCGGAAAACACTACATGGACTATTTCAGAAATAGATAACTTTTTAAAAATGGCAAGTCAGTCTATGTGGCATGATTCCTTTTGGGAAATGAACAGTCCCTTTGTCTGGTGTACCCCACTTGTATGCATTACCCACCTGGCTGTGACTGGCATCTCAGTTATCAGGTGGGCTCATGGTGCTCCCGAGCTTATATTCAAGGACCCTTAAGCAGTAGCTTAAAGCCACTTGACCAAGCCCACAACATTCACCTGGCCTTATCACCTCACACAGGCATCGTGACAGTTCGCGTCGCCACAAGAGGCTTGAGTACCATAATAAGGTGTTACTGGATCATATTTGCTGCAATAAATTTAATTAGAGTATATTTTTAGTTGTTCATTTTATACTTACCTATTAATTGTTAATGCCACTCTGCGCTTAACTTACAAAGTAAACTTTATGCTAAGTATCTATGTGAAGGGAAAAGTTGGCTTAGCTCGGGTTTGTTACCTGCAGTTTACTCGTCTGTCTATGGCCTTAGATTGACTGGGGTGAGCGTGTTCTAGAAACATTTAGAGTCAAAAACGGTAATGATCTCTGATAACAGTGAGCATTCACTCATGGCTGCCTGGTCTGCTGTTTCATTGCAAACCCCCAGCTTGCTAAAAATATGTCTTTCTGGTTAAACTTTAATGTCCTCCCTAGTTCCAGAACATAGGTCACTGTATTTTGGTTGTAATTACAGAAAGGTCCTTGTTGTTGTTCTTTGAAGGTGTTTGGAGGTTCTGACATGGTGAACTGGTCCTGAGTAGAGCAGCATCCTGAGGGGAACATCTGTAGCAGAAGGCCTTTGCATCAAGGGGGTTGACACTTGTGGATTCTTGCTCTGAAGAAATGAATCCCATCAGATATTTCTTTTTTTCAGTATGAACTTTGGAAAATAGCTGAGATGCTGAATATTTTCTCTCTGAGGGAACCCTTGATGTCACTAGATTTCTTTCAAATCTTGTTGTACTTGCTACTTCATTTCTGTGAAGGTGTCAGCGAGTGAGCACCTCCCTTTTCAACTAGTTTTAACCTCAAGTAAGGACTTTGTTCAAGAGTTGGGTGGCCTGAAATGTCTCCAAGACATTTGGTGTCTAGTTTATGTTGTTAGGTTTAGATGTCACTTAAGACAACCTGGTAGAGGAAACCCTTCAGACCCTCTAGGGGGGTTGACCAGTTGTTTCAAATTCAGTTTTACCTTTTTTTTTTTTTTTTTTTTAGTGATTTAGTATTGACATGTCTCCAAGTTAGACAGTTGACTCCACAGAGTAAACCACAAAGGCTTTCTCTGGGCAGTGTCTGCTGAGCATGCATTGACTGTTATGGGATTGGTACAGGAAGGGCGTATAAAGAAATTGGCTTCAAGGATTGGTGTTTGTTGCTGATGTGACAAGCTGCCACCATTTTGGTGGCCCAGCACCTTGACACGGTATGCACATATACACATCCCCACATTTATGTACACAAACACATACAAACACGCTCCAGAGTATGTGTTTGGGCCACCATACTTTCCGGACTTTCATGTCTGGGAGCTGGTGCTCGTGCTTGCTGGTGCTCGTGCTTCTGAGTCTTTGCCCAGTCCACTACTATCCATCCTTGCATCTCCACTGGGAAGGTTCAGCTTGGGGCTGAGAGAACCATGAGAACCTCCCTCCTCTCAAATCCTCCGTCCATCACCACCAGCCAATTCAAATGCCCACAGGTCACAGGATGTTTCAGGACATGGGTGGGGACTTGGGTTTTCTGATTGCCTGTAGATAGGAAGGGGCTCTAGCTGTAACTAGCCCCCCCCCATCTTACAGGAAGTTTATAGATATACTGTAGCCATGCCAACCCCTTCATCTTACATGATGATTGTTGCTGACCTTGACTTTTATTTACTCTCATTGCTAATTGTTATGTTGCTGCCTTCCTGCTTGTGTGAGTCAGTGGAAGAGGGGATTAAAGTAGTAAGAGGGATCAGTGGAGGTCCCAGTACAGCATTTAATCATTTAAACTATTGACATAAAACACATCCCTTGTCTCACAAAGAGTAAGTTTATTCTTAAGCTAGACATGAATGACTTGGCCTAGGAACATGGATTCAGGGAACCCCAAGGAATATATTCCTACAAGGAAATGGTTTCATAAAGAGGTTTTAGTCACGGAACACCTGTTTGTAAGGCGCTTTTTTTAGGTACATTGGTAGAACCAGCAGTAGGAGGGTTTCATCAGAGTGGGGAGTCTGCTGGAGTCTCAGTTGCTATCTAAGGACATTCTTTGGTTGGGGTTGGGGGAAGCTAGTGATCTGCTAAGTTATAATTACAAAAGGCGTCACCTTGAGAATCACAAGGATGTTAGTTCAGATGTGAGCAGTGAGTTAAGAGACCTTAAAGATAACCCACACTTTCCAAGTCACTACATTCAATTAATCTAGCCAAATATCCAGTAGAGGCATAACATTTTCTCTCTCTCCTTGGAAACTTCAGTTCGCACGAACGTAAAACTTAACCAGCTCAGAAGTGGGCTATGTTGGATGTGCCCAGATGCCTGGGATCCATTACAGATGGGAAGTGTGGGGAGCACAGACTATGGCTTTGACCAGGGAGCATTCTTACTGTGGAAAGACATGGCAGCTTTCATCTCAGTGTGGAGACAGACTTTTGTGGGTCTTCCACTTAATCCAAAAACATGTAACTGATGGGATTTTGTATCTCAGGCTTCAATAATTTGGCATCCCCGTTGGCAACTGTTTTTACCTTTCTGTTCACAGCCCTGGTACTTGAGGGTTTTGAATATACACACTAAAATGAAGAAAGTATTTTAAATGTGCACATTTTTTATTTACAGCTGCAGCCGAAGGAAAAGGCAGAAGTGGGGAAGACTTTTTTCAAAAGGTGAGTGGCATTTTACTCTTACTTGGCTTGGGGCATGGATGGGAAATAGCCTTCACCAAAGACGCCAAGCTGACTTCTCATACCCAGATCAACGCAGGTATGTCCTTTTCATCTGCTCTTTACATGCTTCAGGTCCTTCCTTCCAAGCCATGACTGGCTTAGAGGTCGGTCGATGGGCATTTCTTAGGCTGTCCCTCTCTCTGGTGAACGGGACATGGGTTGGGGTCTGTAACCAGTATAAGGTGGCTCTTGAGACCTGCTTGCTCAAGATTGGCTACTGTGCCCATCCTATGCCTGCTGTCCCCTGAGTGTTTTGATATTCAAGGAGGCCAGTTGGGCCAGCCACGCACATAGCAAGGGGAAACATGGTCAGGACCAGTTGAAAAGATGATGATGAGAAACTGGGATGCTGGCTGATGAATTTGAGTTTTCCTTCTCAGGAAGTCTTTCATGTGGGAAGAGGCCTTTTCTTTTGAAAAGATGGACTGGTGTTCACAGTTCTCTTCCTTTTTCTCCTTGTCTTACTGTGCCTGTACCCTTGTGTTTGGATTCAGAGAGCATGTCCAGACAGGCAGCCATGGCAGAGGAAGTTGGGACTATGGGTGAGGTTAAGTGATACTGGAGAGGGCAATTGGAAAGTCTTCATTCTCTTGTCTTCCATTCAGTCCACTTTTGGTGGCAATGTGTGTGTGCATGTGTGTGTGTGTGTGTGTGTGTGTGTGGTGTCAAATTCATCATTTGTCTGTTTCCATCTAAGAGTTTTAAAAGCAGACTTCCTTATACCTAGGGCTCAAATTGTTTCTTCATTTTGAAAGTATTTATTTACCTGTCATAGGCTGCGTGCTAGAGAGACTAAAATGAGCTAGACAAGTGTGCTAGCTTGGTAGACTATGTAGTACCTGGTAACATATTCACATGAATTCACAGCATGAGTGGGTATGCAAGGGCATTCTAAGCAAAGAGCCAGAACTGTGAACAGTCTCTGTACTCGGACACTTAGGGTTCCTTGTGTTAGGTGAGGTGCATGATCCCATATCATAAAGGGTATTCCTTGGTCAGGGAGATCTTTCCTAAATGGTGTTCAAGTTTGGGGCTGGGGGAGGAGGTGGCTCAATCAGCAAAGCACTTGCAAAGATGATCGTGAGGAACAGAGTCCAATTCCCAGAACCCAAGTGAAAAAAAAAACAAAAACAACCATGGTGGTGGGTGCTTTTCATGCCAGATCCTGGGAAGTAAAGCTACACAGATTCATGGGGCTCACTGGCAAGCCAATTGCCTAATTGTTGAGTTCCAGCCCAGTGAGAGACCCTTTCTCCAAGGAGGTAGATGAGGATGAAAGCTAAGGTTGTGTTTGGGCTTTCACCTGTATGTGTGCATATGTACACCCCCACACAAGAATACCCATTTCATGAACACACGTAAAGGCATGGAAAGAGGGGTTTAAATCTAAACACCTGAGGATGATGTGCTGCCGAACAGTATAGGCCACTGGTCTGATACTCCTGCTTTGAGCTTCCACAGCAGAGCCCTGAAAACTGTTGAGGCTCTTGTGCCTCCAGTGACACTGGTTCATGTCCAGATTATATTCAGCTCCTGAGGAGTGAGATGGGACAGGCTGGCTAGGAGGGGTGGGACCAGTGAAGCTAGTGGCCAGAGAATCCTAGCTAGCCACAGTTACAGATTTGCCTCTAGCTGGCAGCAGTAGTCTAGACAGATGCTGTTTGGGGATGAGAGGGAGTGTGGTGAGGGTGAGCTTTCTACATTATCACTCTTCATCTTACAGAGAGATGGGAAGAGCTTTTAGACCCCTTCAATTCGGACACATTAAAAGCCAAATGAAAACGGCCCACACTGTCCTACAGGACTTTCATTCTTAGAAGATTTGCTAATATTTATCACTCTCTGTGGGTGTGTAAATATAGATCACATCAGCGTAAATGGAAACACATGTCTAAATCCAGGAACACATGTGCTCCCCAGGCTCTGACTTGGAAGTGCAGAGGCCGCGCTTGTCTTCTGGTGAAAAGGGTCTGCAGGTTTGTAGTGGGAGGAACTAGCACCCCCAAAGCCTTCGAAAGCTCATGCTGGAAAACTCGATAAGTGGCAAAGATCTGTGTTACAGGAAAGGACATGTCAGTGTTTGGACCAGACAGAAACAGAACCATGGTCCTTCTGCTGTGAAATGAGGCAAGGAGGAAATATCACCTCACCACACACTCTCCGGTTTCCCACAGTGACACATGGATGCTCCTTAGCATTTGTTTGTTTGAAATTTCAGCGTCTTGCTGTGTAGCCCAGGCTGGACTTAGAGTTCTCCTGTCTCAGCATCAGTGCTGGGATTACAGGTGCAAGCCGGGATACCTGGTGTTCAGTGTGTGTCTGTGAAGGGGTGCTTTCTCTCTTCTAACTGTTGGAGTGTCTTTCGCTTTTGGGGGTGTGTGTGCCAAAGAAAAGTTTAAATCCCTCTGTTTCTGAGAGTCAAGTTCGATCTGTCTGGTGGTTTTTCTCCTCCCTCATGACTCTTCTTAAGAAGGGGGATGGGAGACTTGTCATTTTGCCTATGTGTCAGGGAAATCTATGCAAAAGCCATATCAACACGATCATACTCACTGAAATATGCTAAATTATTCTCTTTTTAGCTTTTTCAAATTAGAAAAAAATAGAATATATCATTTGGAATAGGGAATATAGAATACCACGGTTTAAACTAGAATTTATCAGTAAAATTGTCAAATACTTTTTTTTTTTCTTTGAAGCTGCCATGGTTACTGTCTTTCTGCACCTTGAACTTCTCCCATAGAATTGCACTTACTGCTTCTACCAAAGCTGCCTCTTTCTCTCCTCTTCCCTTGCCCTCTCTTTCTCCCTCTCTCTCTCACCATACATGTGTTGATGTGTGTGCAAATTTTGTATATGTGCTTGTGGAAGCCAGAGATCAAAATGTAGAGTGTCTTTCTCAGTGGCTTGCTACCTTGCTTTTGGGGACAGACTTTTTTAGTTGGCCTTGAAGTCACCGAGCAGGCGAGACTCTTTAGCCAGTGAGCCTCACGGCCTCACCTGTCTCTGCCTTCCTGGAACTGGGATTACCAGTATGTTCCACCATGTCTATTGTTTTTATTTGTTTCTTTCTTTGTTTTGTTTTGTTAAAAATGGGTTGTGGTATTTGGCTTTACCAAAATGAGATACTTCCCAGATCTGTGCCCATTGTTTTTCCACACCATGCATGTTTTTGAAATGTTTTATGTTCCTTAATGCTCTGCTGGAGTAAGACTTAAGGAATTTGCTGTCAAGGGGAAACCCAATAATACAGAGGCTTAAAGAACAGATTCAGAGAGTTTGGGGGTCAGTACAGACTTCCTTTTTTAATTTTTTTCCCTTTGGCTTTCAACATGCTAGGGATGTTGTTCAAGCTTTCTGTTTACTTTGTCCCATCTTGCAATTAGAGAGATCCAAGTTCTTGCTGTATGGCTGGGTTGCTCCTGAAGGTGTTGGGGCAGCACACCCGTGTTTGAGTCTGGCCGCCACCACATCCGTGTACGAGCTATGAGAAAATGGATGGCTGTGTCAAGGAGATGCATGCTGTCATTATGAGGCCAGGCCTCGGCAGTAAGTGAAACATATAACTGCCATTAGGGTAAGGAGAGAGAGAGGAGAAGGCTGGGGCATTTAGAGGAAAAGAAAACTGCTTCTGTGGGTACTTCCTACCAAAAGCTAAATTGTTAGGAAGATGTGTGGATCTCATGCAGAGCCTCCGTGTGACATGCTTATCATGTCCCCGTGTTCTTGGAGCACACACAGGGAGCCCCGTGCCCTGTGAAGGGTGTGTTTTCTCTCAGGTCTAGAGTCTAGCTGTGTAAGGTTGGGGTGCAGACGGGGTCCGTTTGAGGACCATGGGGGAGGATCCAGACCAGTCTTCTCATTTGCTGAGGTGTGGTTCATCCCAGCACCACCTGATTCCCGCTGCAGCCTCTCAGGGCCTTCTGCTTTCTGCATGTGTCTAAGCTTTCTCGTTTTCCAAGGACACCGTTTTTCTTGGTTAGGATTACTACTGCTGTGACTCAAAGCGACTTGATGGTGAAAGGGCTTATTTTGCTTACACTTCAACATCACTGTGCATTATCAGTGACAAAGAGAGAAGTCACACAGGGCAGGAAGTTGGAGGCAGGAGCCGATGCAGAGGCCATGGAGGGGTGCTGCCTGCTGGCTTGACTTTCCTTCTTCCAGGAGGAAAGGACCAGGGCACAGTCACAATCGAATCAAAGCAAAACCAAACTCCAGGGATGTAGATAACTCAAGGGTCCAATGTCTGGGATTCGATCATAGTCTTCTGGGCTCTTCTAAAAGCTGTGCCTCAGTCCACACAGCTCCTCTCATAGGCTCGGGCTGGCTCCAGCCCATGGCTGCTGCTGTCTTTGGCCATTGTCCCATGGTCCTAGCATCTTCAAAGTGCTGGGGGCCTGCACCTTCTTTAATAGCCTCTCCTGGGCTCTCTTCAGGGTCTCTAACCTTTCACTCGGTACCAAGCCCGGGCTTCTCTTTATGACCCCTTCAATCCTGGGGCTGCACCTTCATGGATGTCCTCTCCTGACCTTTCACAGTGCCAAGGCTTAGCTGCTCTCCATGTCGTCCTCATGCTCCAAAACAAGTACAATCTGGGGGACTCCTTCACATGACAAAGTTCAGCTGCCACCTTGGCCGACTCTGGAGCACAGCTTCTGTGCGCTGACCCTGAGGAAACACTTCCTACAAAATTTCACCCCAGTGTTGCCGGTCTCTTGTTAATCACAGCTGATTCTTCAGCCCCAGCTGAACAGAACCATGTGTTCTTAATTCCAAATGTCAAACATCCTGGATAGTCCTTGCTTTCCTCTGAAGCCTCACAGGCCAGAGCTCCATTTCTGCTTTTCTCTCAACATTTCTAAGCTCCCATAGAACAGCTCACCACCAAACATTGAATACCTAATGACTTTTCTAACTCAAGGTTCCAAAGTCATCCTACA